AGTTGACTTCCAGTGTTGTCCTCCACAGTCCCACTGAGTTCTTGAGGAAGGCCCTTAGTGTCCTGTTGACTCTGTATAGCGCAAGGCATTCACTGATCCATGTGTGTGGTGTTGAGTCGTAGGCTTTCCTGTAGTCAATCCAGGCTGTGCTCAGATTGGTCTGTCTAGACCTTGACTTGTAGGCGACCTCTCTATCTATGAGCAACTGGTGTTTTGAGCCTCTGGCGTTGTTCCCAATGCCCTTCTGAGTGTGCTCATATACTGGCCCATATGGTCCTGTAGCTTGACAGCTATGATGCCTGATAGAACTTTCCATGTTGTGGGGAGGCAGGTTATTGGCTGGTAGTTGGATGGTGCTGTTCTCTTGTGGGGGTCTTTCATGATCAGCACTGTTCTTCCTTGTGTTAGCCAGTCTGTGTGGGAGCCTGCTGCTAGCAGCTGATTCATCTGTGCTGCTAGGTGTTCATGCACTGCTGTTAGCTTCTTTAACCAGTAGGTATGGATCATATCCGGGCCAGGTGCGATCCAGCTCTTCATGTTCTTGAACTGTTGTCAGATGACTGCTACTGTGATGGTGACTGGTTCCTGTTCTGGGAGATTGCTGTGGTCTGCTCTCAGGTCCTGCAGCCACTTTGCACTAGTGTTACGTGTCTTCTCTTTCTCCCATGTTCTTCCAGTACTGTTCAGTTTCTGCTGTTGGTAGCTCTGCTGTTACTGTGTTTTTGCACTGGGGGGGGAGGCTGTAGTGTATACCAGTTCATTTGTTTGAGTTATGGTGGTAGTAGAGATTGTTGTGAGGGCTCTACTGGCATCTTCTAGCATAATATGTGATGGTACTTCTCCACTGAGCCTTGGTAATCGGTCTCAAGGGTTGACTGCACCTAATTTATCCACAATCATATTATGCCTCATATCAGCTGCTATGTTCTGTAAAAGAGGGAGTGACAGTGAAGTTCCAGCTTCAGGTGTTGGCTGCACATCCAGTTGTTCTTCCTGGTCTTGAGTCCAGGATGTAATGTGTAGTTGGTCTATCTCAAGTTGTGAGAGCAACATCTGTTTCCCCAACATCTGGTGCAGACCTTGTTAATCTGGGCGATGTCCCAGCCAGCATGACTCTCTTAATTTGTGTCACTCTCATATCCCAGGTAGGCAGGTGAAGCATTAGGGGATATTTGCCAAGGACCCCTCCTGGTAAGGTATGTACCAGCCAGGATTTGAACCCTGGTCTCTTGTGTCAAAGGGTGGTGTTCTAACCACTGGGCTATCCAGTCTACCTACCTACTTTTCTATCTATCTATCATATGTATATATATGGTGTTATATAAACAACTAATAAAAATTAAGCAAACCATTATAAATCAGTCCTTCAAGCATATTAGTCAATGTATTTGCACCATATAGCGTCTTATGAAAAAAAGAAAGCAATTTCTTATAGTTGTGTCTAGATGGGTAGCTATTTTTGCCTAGCAAATATTACTCAGTAAATAATTTTTGCAACAAGAAGTATATGAAGTGCCTTACCAGCAATCCCATATTTGAAATCTGATCAGATAAAGTATTCATCCATGAATCACTACTTCCTCCTTTTAACGAACACTGAAAACAGAGATGATTAGTTTAAGTTTCATTCTAGGCTGCAGAATGAATTTAAATTTCATTCTTCAATTTAAATAATGCTATATAGTATACCCATCACAAAACTGAAATTGACTGATCCAAATCTCAACTGTTAAATAAAAAGCAATCAAGTTTAATATTAGAGGCATACGGACTTCTGGTTTACTGAGTTTATTTAAGAGATTACTTACTGCTGTGTAGAATTAGTGAAATGCTGTTACTATTATCATTTTGAAATGTAAACTAGCAACAGTTTTGGAAAAATGAGCCAGACTATAAACTTTTATATGCTCCATTGGATGCAAAGTGGGAAAGAAATCATTAAATTTATTCTAAATATAGATCAAATATTTTTCAGCATCACTTTTTTCCCTGAAGGCCATATTAAGTCAAATGGATTTCATTTCTTTAAGGAATTTATTCTGCTAGAAGTATATTAGTTATTTATATTACAAAATCAAATATCATCTGCAACACTTGACATATCAGATAGTTAGAAACGACTGCATGAAACACATGGCTGAAGGCTGGAACTGTTTTAATACCAACAGAAGAAAGGACAACAATACCTGTCCTACTGGCTGGTTAGATTAATAATGCAGTGAAATACTGAGCATTTTTTTCTACTGAGAAGTGTTCGCCATGTGCAGAATTCAACACATTTGAAGAAACAGAAACATTAATTCAGCTTATTTTTTCAATTTTATACAATTGTTAAGCAGCTGTCATAGATCTGTGGATGACTGTTTCTCATAATTTCAAAGTGGAGAGTAAGGAATCTAAAGTAGGAATCTTCCCAGATTAGTGGCCTTAATATAGCAATTGTTTCAATGCATTTCTTGTAACGCTTTACATACAGTACTATCCCTTTTTTGTGGTAAGCAATATTATATGGACTGCTGAAAAAGAGTAAGCAAGCCAAAGAAAGTAGAACCTTCAGGTGAGAAAAAATAAAACAAAACATATCTAAAACTAGTTTACAGGAACACCATTCATTATGTCTCCAAATCTTTCTGTCTAGGCAAACCATCTACCATGTCTGTATAACCACTTCACACATTGCCTTTTGTTCTTTAATTTTCTCTCTTTTTGAGGATTTCATCAGCTCCATTCAACTACAACTTTCTTGGTCTTCCTCTCAACCCATTCACTCCTTCATATATTTCTTCTGAAATTTGAACCACATTCATTTTCTCTAAATGATCAAACAGTCTCTACTTTTCTTCTGGTCACTCACATTTATATTCAATCCATGTTCATTCTGCCCTCATTCATTCCTGACCCAATCTCTTCTTGTTTTATTATATACATTTTGTAAGTACACATTCCCACTGCATTTAACTTACTTTTATGTCTCTCCTGGCATACCTTTAATCTCCATATAACAAAGAGGACAGAACACTTTTATACACAGCCATTTCCACTTCAACAAACACAGACTTCTTGTAACAAACTGCACATTTTCTATTACCATCTGATTCCTTAAAAAATTTCCATTCATTTCCCATCTTTAGTATACAATCTACCAACGTACATAATTCATCTACTTGCTCTAGTTTTCCCTTATTTATGTATTAGAAATAATTCACTCTATTTTTTTTTGGTCAAAAACTACCTTTTGTCCTTGATACATTAATTTTCAGAAACTTACTCCTTGTTGCACAGAACAATCTATTTAACATTCACTGCAAATCTTTTGGCTTCTCAGGGAATAACACAGCATTATCTGTATACAAAAGTACCTATACTTTTACATTTCCAACCCAGACATTTCAAATGTCACATACACATTCCTTAAACCTTTATCCATAAATACATTGAACAAACAAGATGTCATATATCCTTGCTTTACTTCATCTTCAATGCTGAACTTTTTGCTAAGCATTCCATTTATTCTCAAGATGCTTCACTTAATGGTCTTGCCACATTCAGCATCTCTATTCAATAAAAGTATTCCATAGTTCAACTTCATCATACACTTTCTCTAGAACAAACAATAATAATTCTTTCTAACATTCATCTATTTCTCAATTATCTGCTGAGGAATAAAATTCTAGTTGGAACATCCCTGTCTACCATAAAGCTTCCTACATTTTGTTCACTGGCACCTCTCACACCCTCTTCATCAGAATTTCAATCAGGAACAATCCAATTTCCCTGTTGTTTTTGTATTCATTCTTGCCTTCTTTCTCTTCATTTAGAGGAACAAAAGCAGCATCCTTCCAATTGTCACACACACATGCAGTGTTCACTCATGTTAAACTGGTCACCCAGAGACTCTACAAGCAAACTGCACACTATAAGCAGACCACATCCATATTTTAACATTTTTTCCAGTCACAATAGCTACACCTGCAGCGTTGCCATTTTTCAACATTCACACAGCACTGATGGCTTGTCACATTCTTTTCTTACAGCATTTGTTTCCATCTATTCAACATCACTATCATTCTCAACAAATCTATAAAATAATTCTTCCAGCATTCTCTCACTCCAGTTTCATCCTAAGCCATTTCATCACTTTTATTTTTAATTCTACTCATGCTGCTGGAGGCTCTTTGAACCCACTTCCAAAATAGTTTTTCATTTCCATTAAAATCACTCTGTATTTTTTCTGTCTCTTTTAACTGTTCCGTGTTCTCTTTAATTCATTCTTTCTCTTTGTTTTTCTTTTAATACACATTACACAGTATCTTTCATTCTTATCCTCTCATCTTTTTCTGCAGCAAGGTTCTCTTACATGCATTTCTTCTCATGTGCAACTTTTCATTTCATCATTCTACCAAGCATCCTTTTTCATACCTCCACATACCTCTATGGCACTCTGTAAAATAATTCTTGTCATTCTGTTTCAAGTATTTTCAGTATTTTCTTTCCTTTCATTCTATTGGGAAAGTAATCTATTTCCTAATACTCTTTCATATAGGACTCCTCCTTACTATATTATTTTCAGAACTATTAAAAGACTGTTCTGACAAAGTTTGGAAATTAATATCTGCAGTTTGTTTGCCATTTGTTTGCCAGTCCGCTGTCTTAATCACATGGTTTTATGACTTCAGTTTGCAAACTATCTAGAGACATGCAGTTTTAATGGTATACAAACTATAGAAAATAACTAACTAAATAATAAACAATAAAATCAATTATGTTTTTAGATTTCTCTTTGCTTCTTTGCCATGTGTATATGTATGCAAACATGTCTAAACCATGTATTTGAAAACAATATTCTTTTAAGTAGATACTCACCAGTCACTATTTCCATTCATTCTTAGATCTCTGAACTGCCCAATCCATTTTTTCTACTCTCTTCTCATTCCCACCCATCCATTCATCTTACTAACAAAATAATTTTTAATTATGCACTTTCCATACATTAAACTATAAAATCATTTATTAAAAAACACTACCTTTTAACAGTAGCAAATTTATATAATTAACATTCTGCACTACTAGATTTAAGAGAATGGTTCTGGTGTATTCATTTATCTATGGAAGACTACATCACAGAAGACTTTTTGCACCTTAATTTGTGGTTTCTTTCCTCCTTGTCCCCAGCTAGTTGAATTATGAGAGGAACTGCTTCCCTGAGAGCCTGCTGTGTTCCAGACTCCTCCCTCCTCTTCTTCTTCCCAGCTGGAATGCCGTGTTCCTGATACTGGCCCATCATTATCGCCCCAGCCATCTTGAGGTGATTTGGAATCTTTAATGGAAAATAAATGTCAGAAAAAAAGTAGCAAAAAGAGTGACAGCCACCCTAAATTTCCCAAATCTATTATTTCTATTATTTTATTTTACAATCCAGAGTCCAATAAGCAGTTGTACATACTGAAGGATTTTTATCCTTTAGTAAACCTGTTAACTTGGTTCTGGTAACTGTTAACTTCTTTAAGTTTTTCCTGGCTGTATCATTTGCAGTTTTAGAACCTTTCTCATTAATCCAGAAATAAAGGCCCAAGTAAACAGACCTCTGACTACAAAGGCCTTATTTCAACACTCTATATTTATAATTATGGAATAAATATTTAAGTATTTAATTGGTCTTAAAATGTACTACAAAGTGGTTTCCAACAGATTAATGACCAAGATATAAGTAAAGTATGAAAATGGAAACCAGTGATATCCCTCTTGGCCCAAAGAAAGGACATTTTTCTTAAATTGTTTCTTAGATGGTATATGGACGTGCAAAATTAGCATGCATGAAGAAATGAAGCTGTTTACTCTGCTGAATTGGTTGTAGGGAAATGGGGGTACATATTTAGTCATGCCACTATGCCTTTTCCTTTTGGTCTGAATTTTTTTTCATAAAGAATGCATCTGTGTCCATATATTGCACTGCTGAATGTATTTCTAGGAATCAATTAAGATATTATGTCTAAAGGTTTAGCAGTATTTTATGATTCTGCTAGAATGTCCATAGCTAAACACTGGAAAAACAAAACTATGATTCTAGACAATTGGTTTTAGAATGTTTGGCAAATTGGGATAGCAAAGGAGTTTTGTTTAGCTCAGGTTGAAGCCACAAGGTTTTTTTTAACATATAACTTTATAGTTCATGTTAATTAGGTGACTAAAGGCTATCCTCTGACAATCAAATATATTAATGTACAGAAGGAATATTAAGACAATATTAATGCCTGGCTTTGCGATTCTTCCTTTTTTCTATATATCTTTACCTGTGTGTTTCAATATTTTTAAAAAATTGGGTTTTGTTATGAATAAAATATCAAATTCTATAACAGTAGTTTGGCATCACATATCATTCCTTTTTAAAAGACAATCCATCTCTTTATAGCAATCCCTAACTTTTTTTTTCTAGTGAAGCAGACTGCTGCTTCCAAATTAATGTGAGAACAAGCTGAATGGCAAACTTGAAACTTATCACAATGAAACTTATGTTGTCCTGTTTATTATAGCGTTTAGATAGAACGGCTAGTTCATAATTAATTCTGCAAAAGATACAAGCGAGGCAGGGTATAATTAAGTTGAGATATTATTCAGACTCTCCTTGAATCTAAACAATATACTTCAGCTCCTACCTCTAGTAGCTTCTTTTAGTCCTAGCATACCAAAAGGACATTGGGAATCTGGACTAATATTGTTGGGTTTGTACATTACCCCAATCCATAATGTGATTTGTTTTACTTTGGTATGATGTGCCATATGTAACGTTTGGCTTAGCATTAAGTATGAATGCAGCAATCCATTTTGCTGGGGCTAAATCATTCTAAACATCTATTGGCTAATGCTAATGAGATGGTTACTCATTCAAAACAGTTATTTTAAATTAAATATATATTTTAATTACAACTTTGCTAAATTTCAGTTTCTAACCAAATAACCCCCCAAACAGATTGCTACAGTATTCTTTTTGTAGATATGATAAAAAAGATACAGGTATTAATGCAAAATAAAGAATACACATTAGAATATTAGTGATTATAAAACAGATTAACTATTTAACATACATGAAAGTATCAGTCAAATTAAAAAAAGAGAAGTAACAGTTTTTAAAACATTTGCCATAGATTTGTTTGGTTACTGAGAAACCATGGCAACAAGTTGTTTTTGAGATTAAAATCAGTCCCTGTCTATGTCTTGGTGGAAAGAATGCCATGGAAATAAGCAAGAATTGTTTTCATTCACTCAAAATGCAGAACAGCCCACTTCAAGTCCCCCAGCAAGCCACCTTTTTATGCAGTCTTTAAAGGTCCCCTTCTGGGGTTATACTGCCAAAATTCAACAGCAAATCACCAAAAGAACATAGGCCAAGTCTTATACAACTTTATTCTTGCAATTTATTCAGGAAAAGACTCAAAAAATGTTCCCAAACACTTCTTTGGATCTAGTTAAACTACTAATCCAAGAACCTCTTTTCACATTGCTATTTCACGAATCCCTATTTTCCAAAATTGATCCCCCCACCCCCAGCTTGAAAAAGTGAAATAACTTAATTTGTTTCCTATATCTTTATTTATGATTTTAGATTCCTAATTTTTCTTATAGAAACAACAATAGCTTGTGTGGTATAATAATTATTATTGAATGAAAAATGCGCTTTAAACATATTGGGTCTATGTGTTCACCATGGATACTACATGCCTAAGAATGTTATTAGCAACTATTAGCACACATAATTAGCAACACTGACTCCAGCTGTATCTGATAACTCAATGTCTGTGATTGTTATACTGCTCATTCTCCCTCTTGCTCCCTCTTTCCACATGCTGTTTGTTCACCTGCACATTCACATCACCAGAAACTAAAGAACTCTAAAATTTGCGGATTTTGAAAGCACTGCAAGAGAAGACATACTTACTGCCATCTCTTAAATTCCTAGTTGCCTACATAAACACTCAACCTGCTCCATTGAGAGGGGTATTCCAGTCAACCTCACAAGATCTTCACATGCCATACAGACATTTAAATTTGTATAAGCATGTTTAAACATATAATTTAGCTCCATATCCCCCCTTCATGTTAACAGGTATGGATCCAAGGCAGGGATTCCATCAGCCAGCCTTTCACAACTTGCACGCTCTCAAATGTGTAGATTCCAACTTCCAGAACTTCCAAGCCAGCATAGCTATTGCTGATAATTCTGGAAGCAGAAGTCCATACATCCAGAAAAGACGCAGTTTAGAGAAGGCTCAGAGCACTGGTAGAGGAAGATGAAAGTAAACTTTATTAAGCATGGTGTCTGAGCATACTTCATGGCAATGAGGGTAGTTAAACATTCATATTTTTCTACTCCTATTGCATCAGCAGATTATTGTCCTGCAACCCTGTTTAAGGTCAGCTAAGGTGAGCAGGAACAGTTAACACAAGACTGCTATGACACTTTTGGATAACATTTTGCTGACAATCACTCAAATTGGACAGAAGGTTGATTTCTTATATGCGGGATCTAAAGTGATGACACAGTGCCTTGTACTGTTACCTAGGATTCATTTTGGCTTGTGGACTCTGATAGAGTGGCTAGAGTGTTCTCTAGCACTAGCTACATGATGGTTTAGATCCATGCACCTCTTGGTTCTTTTGGGTGGCCTGTGGGAAGTGATTGCAATGAATACCTGGGTTCAGGAACCAATTAATATCTCTTCAGAGGATGGGGTTGAATCAAATGCCTTTAAGGAGGCATTAGTTTATCCTTATTGAAGACCCTTCCCTGGATTTAGCTATTTCAGACAACTAAAGGTAGATGTGGATTTAACTGCAGAGTACTCTAGAGGAAGATGATTATCTGGATTCTTGTCAGTCAGAGTTCATGCCTAGGCTTAATATTGAAGTGGCAGTGATACCCTGGTGGATGGCAATTTGCCAACACATGGATGCAGGAGGGTACCATTCCCAGGCCTATTTGACCTCTCAGTGATCTTCGGTAATTGAATCCTTTTGACTCACCTATAAGAGTTGGGGAACTGAAGTACTGTTTTGCAGAAGTTCTCCTGAGATATGATTCTGGGCTTATAGGGGTAGGGAAAGATTGGCTTACCAAGTATTCCCTTGTGGATTCCTGCTGAGCTCAATTTTCTTTCCCTTTTTAATAACTACATGGGCCTCCTGTGAGAAGTTATCCATTGGTTTGGAATGAGATACTATCTGTATGCTTATGATACTTAGTTATACATTGTCATTTGGGCTGGCTGGGAAAGTCTTGACCCAGTGTTTGGTGTCTGTGGGACCCAGATGGATTGAAGTAAATTAAAACAGAACTTTAAGAAGACCGTGAGAGGACATGGGGATGGTGACATGTCCTCACCACCACCAGGATACAGTACTGCAACGTGCTCTACATAGGGCCATTTTTGAAGTTAACTCAGAAGGTACTATTGTTGCAGAATACAGCTGCCTATATGCTGGTGTGTGAGACCCACTCCAGCCATCTTACATCTATACTGTTGTGTGTACTGCACTGGCTTCCAATAGCTTTTGGGTATTGGCTTTGACCATTAAATCCTTACATGATTTGGCTCCAAGATATATTCAGGAATACCTTCTCCAAACAGAACAAATCTGTCCAGTATATTTATCCTGGCTGGGGAAGTTAACTATTCTTAGTTTAGGCAAAGTCAGATTATTTGCAGTCCGGAAATAGTGTTTCTCTGACCTTTGCCTTATGAAGTAGTATTCCCCCACAAATTAGACTGGCACCAACCTGGACCATAAAGTAATTAAAATGGAGCTATTTCACAGGGCCTTGGAGAGCTAATACTATTTAATATTGGTAGGCATGGGATTTCACACTGATACTGTTTACAGCAGGAGACTGGTAAAACCTTTTCTGATTAACAACTTTTATTAAAAGGCATAAACTTTCATGAGCTGCAGCTTAGAAAGTTTACGGTTTTTAATAAAAGTTGTTAATCGGAAAAGGTTTACCAGGTCCCTGATTTTTTGCAATCAAGAGACTAATATGGCTTTTCTCCTACAACGTCTACAAGAAGCATACTGCTTCTATTTAATTGGTTTTTATTAGTGTAGTGTTATTTATTTTGGTTTTATTATGTCTCTTGCTCTAAACCACAGCAAGTTGCAAGTTTCAGCAGTACATAAATTTAATAAATAAACAAAGCTTTGACTTGGCTTATATTATCTGAGAATATCACTGAAAAAAATGAGACCCAGTGAGTAAATAAATGCTTTCCATCCACTTAACTGTAGAAACAGCTGGCAGGTATTCTGATCATTTGCAAGCTGAGTCTTTTGATTTTGTCTATCTCTATTTTACAAGAAGTAGAGATGTCTAATCAGTTCTAGACTACATGATTAACAGTACAAATACTGAAATAAATACCAAACAATGACTTCATATCATAATCACTGGTGGGCCTTTCTGAATATTAGTGTTGATATGGACTACTGGATTTTAGTTGCTATTTTATTCTGACTTGTGGCTTTATAGCGTGGATCAGTTTTCTGGGTGTTTTATTGAATTGTGTGGCAAATTATCGTACTCCGCTTGTAACTGCTTGAAGGCTTAAGAAAGAGGTACTATATAAATAAATGCAATAAATACACAAATAAATAAAGCTCATTGAGAAATAACAAAAAATATTTTCAAACCGTAACACCAGTCTGAGGAAGAATTCTACATAAATAAAAAAAATCCTATACTACTTTGTGCATATACTTTTAAAATGGTATTGCTTTATTTGACCCTCTAAATATTGTTCATATATTGCTTTTGTTTTAAAATGTTTTTATAACACTATACTACTTTCTAAGAACTATAACCAATGTTTTAGAGTTTTCTGACAATTAGTTTTAATAAGAAAAATTTAAGAATACACATTATTGTTTAAAAAAAGGAAACTAGGAAGTACTTACTAGGTTTTATGGCATTTGATGCACTGGAGGATCCATTTCCCCAAGTGGTAGAAGCCCCTGCATCATCTACTTCACCCCATCCAGGACTGGTTTCATTTGGTTCACCCCAAGCAGCGGTACCATTATCTGGTGCAGGAGGTGTGCTTTTGTTCCAGACTAAATGCAGAAAGAGTTTTCATTCTATGCCATTTATTCACTGAAGTGACTTTCCAATGTTAGAGCAACTTAACCTCAAAATAAAGCTTTCTCCTTCTATATAGCTGATTCTACTTTATCATACCTCAGTTTTAGTATCTATTCTAGATCCTGTACTAATTATTGTGCTAAATCAAAATAATCTAGTAACAGTTTGACACTGTTACAGTATTACATCAAAATTAGAGTTTGATCCTACAGTCAATAGAAGAATTCAAGATAATCACAAATTTAGCATAACAGAGAGAAAAGAAAGGCTTCAGATAAGAAGTCTCTGAATGAGACCAGAAAAAGGTTAATATATCATACCATGATCATATGTAACCTATACCGTCCACAATTTGCTCAGAATATATGGATCTGATAAAATAAATCTGTATACTGGCAAAAATATAAGCAACATATTCCTATACATGGATAGTCGTAGTACTGCATGACACATAGAAAATATAAGCACTCTTTTGCCTCCACTGTCTTTTCTGACACAAACTGTCCATCTAACAATGCAATTCAAGGTGGGAGAAGCACTTAAGTGCTTGGGTACATCTAACTGGAGCGCAATTTGCTTTTTAACTCTTCTCCTTCTGATGCCTGGGAAAAGCCAAATAACTAATTTGGAATCACATACAAATTACATTATTTAATTTACCAATAGCCCAAATGCTCTCTACAGATGAAGTTATTAATAAGGTCAGATTATATAAAAATTATTACTACTACTAGGATGAATATTCACAAGCACCCAATCTATATAGTACTGAATCTGATGAAACAGCTAGCCTTGAGAGCATCAATCTGTTGGATAGGAAATCCATCCTTCATATGTACATGCTCCCTTCCTACATGAAAGGTAATCAGCAGAATTTAAACAAAAATATTCCTAATAATTTGTAGAATACTGTATAAAAAAATCTAATCCAGCAACAAAAAGGTGTGCGATCCTGGAGATAACAGGCTCCAAGGAACCAGTTACACAAGTCCTGATCTAGCAGAGAATCTATCTTCTCCTGCTCTTATATTCCCCTTAAAAGAAATGTATTTATTTATATTTCAAATTTAGTCACCGCCCATCTCACTCATCGAGCAACTCTGGGTGGTTTACAATAAAATAAGAATAAAAACCAATTTAAAATACAATAAAAACAGGAATAAAAAATCAATAATAATCAAAGGGATAGATGGTATAAATATTAACAGTTTGTATCATCATGAAGACCATTAAATATTTTTACCTGAGGCTGCTACTTTGCTAGGCCTTGGAGTAGGGAGGTTTTGCTCTCGTGAAGCTTGTCCACTTTGTGAGTTTTTGTCCCAGAGGTTCACATTCTTATAGTTGTAACTATTGGGGTCTCCCCATGCTGAGGTGCCATCATCAATATCCATTTTACGACTAATTGACTGGGGGGATGGTTCTTCCCAGCCACTGGGTTCTTCATCCTTTGAGACAGTTGTCTGTGGCCCACTGTTCCAGTTAGAATTGGGTAGCCTACCATTACCTGGAGGCTGTGGTGGTGGTGGGGGGTCCCAGGAACTAGGTGCCTCTGACTGCTGATGGTGCTGTTGTTGCTGATTATTCCAGGAATTGGGTTGTCTACCAGTATCATTCCATGCTGGAGTTCTTTTACTATTATCCCACCCTGCTTTAGAAGAAGAGTTTGAATTTGCATTATTACCCCAAGTCCCAATCTCATTTTGGCCAGCTTCACACCAACCTGATATTGACTTGTTTCCTGAAGTTTCCCAATTGCTATTTTTTGTTTGGTCAACTTCTTCTCCCCAGCCATTCTTCCCAGAAGACCATCCCTGATTAGGTGGCCGCCCATTCCATCCTGGATCCTTGCTGGAATTCTCATTCCAGGATGCTGTTACTTTCTCATCTGGTCTTCCTCCTCCCCAGTTAGAGCAACTGCTCTTGTAATCATTCCATCCTCCAGTGTTTTTGGGCTCTTTCCATTCTGTTGGAGTAGAAAGCTCACCCCATCCAGACTTGATTTGATTGCTTTGGCTGGGTGCATCTCCCCAGCCCCCTGAGCTCTTTGTCTGTATGGCAGAACTCTCCCACCCCTCAGTACCTTTATCAGCCTTTCCCTCAGCTCTTGGCATCTCTTCTATGTCCCAAACAGTATCTTGCTTGATTTGAGTTTGACCCCAACCAGTATTTGAAAGCACTCGGGGGTCCAAATCAGTCCTGCTTAATAAAGTTTGCAAAACTGCCTGGCAATCAGGATGTGTAGGCCTGTATGATCGACGTCCAGAATTGTGACTATCACTGCTTCCTGCTTTATGGTTGCTTCCAGTGCTTTGACCTCCAATCTCACTTCCTGCGGAGCTGGAAGATCTTCCCCAACAGGGAGCCTGGGAATTACCTTGGTTTTCAGGAAGCGGGTGGCCCCTTTGATTGTCCCATGCTCCAGTGCTAGAATTTGGTTGGTTTGGACCATTCCATTCACCAATCTTCAGTTCATCAGACCCAGACGGCTGTTTCCATTCTCCCTGAGACATCCCTGATGTCATTTTGTTCCCTTCATTCCATTTACTTTCACCAGAGTGTTGAGGGCCAACGGTCCAAGACCCATCACCCGTAGACCTGTTACTGTTATCCCAAGATTCAGTTCTTGACCCATTTGATTTTTGAACAGAAGCTCCCTTCCATAAGTCTTCCCTATCCTTCCCATTGTTCCCATGATTTCCAGAATTGCTTTGATTAGAAGCACTGTCCATTCCAGAAGGCCCCCTAGCTGTACCCCAAGACCCAACATTCCCAGTTTTTCTCTCTCCAGTGCTTTGTGAAGGGGCATCAGTGCTCCTGGAGGGGTTCCCAAAGCCCATTTCAAAGGACATTCCCTTATTCTCTACCGGGTTTGGTGAACTTAAGTTCAAGGATATAGCATTTCCATTTTTTGGTCCATCAGTGTTGTGAATTTGAGCCTGCTCTCTGCCAGAGACAAAGTTAACACCCGCATTTTCCATCTTTGACTGCTGTTCCCTAGAAGTCTGACCTGTTGTACTAATCTGTGCATTGGAACCACCATTATCAGTTTCTGAAGTCCCTTTCCTTGAATTGCCCTCCTGAATTAGTGCTGGCCAAGCAGATGGGTTGCTATTTGGGTTAAAGTTGCTGAAGCCAGGGTTGGGGCCAATTCTGTCCTGCCCACTCAAGTTTCTCCAGCTTGCTAGACCACCGTTACTCTCTGCTGAAGGACTGGAAGATTGAACAGGTTTAGCCTTAGGGTCGGATTTCCAAGCCCCAAGATTACATTCATTACCAGAGCTTCCAGACTGGCACTGGTTTCCTTTTCCTTTGTTGCTAGTGGTGCTTCCCGGCAGAGTGCTCTTCTCTGAGCCGGAGTTTGAGGCACTGTTGTTGTCTGTGGAGTTTTCGGAAGAAGACTCAGTATCTTTGCTAGCAATACAAGGCCACTCTTCCATGTCAGACCCGTCTACAATCACCTTGTCCCAGACGTGAGTAGGGTTGACATTGGTGCTGTTGGAGGACACTCCAGGACCCCAAGTGGAATTTGCATAATTTGAAGCAGCAGCACCTCCAGTTGTTGAATCTAAAAAGGCAACAGACCAAATTATTCATAAATTCATATAAGACCTTAGGTAACATATATTAGTTAGCTGCAATTATGTAATGGAAGGCAGGGTGAGGAGGATACTGGAATGGAGGATCAAGGTTATTGGGGGGGAGCATTCCTGGAGAGGTTACAGGGCAAGCGCTTCCTCAGCCCGCAGCAGGATCATGAGAAGATGAAGAAGCTGAGACTAGCCCCTCCCTAGAGTCTCACAGGGTATATCCACTAGTTGCTTTAGTATAGGTTTAGTCTGGCAAGATTCTATTAGGTGCAAGCTAATAAAGGAACTATACTGGACTGGACTGCCTCGTCGTTCTTGGGCTGGGCCTCACAAATTAACTTTAAATTTAAGCGCTTCCTCAGCCCGCAGCAGGATCATGAGAAGATGAAGAAGCTGAGACTAGCCCCTCCCTAGCGTCTCACAGGGTATATCCACTAGTTGCTTTAGGATAGGTTTAGTCTGGCAAGATTCTATTAGGTGCAAGCTAATAAAGGAACTATACTGGACTGGACTGCCTCGTCGTTCTTGGGCTGGGCCTCACAAATTAACTTTAAATTTCTTTTCTTTTTTTAATAGTATTTTATTGGAGTTTTAAAATTACAAAGTTAAAAGTTAGAAATTTAACTTTAAATTTCAAATGTTTCATAATCCTGTGACACACATCCTTCATTGTATATTCTTCCTAGTTGTTTGGATGCAGACCACCGTTATGGACTTGCAAGTTAAGACTCCAGATAAGAGATCCTAACTTGCATAGAGTAATTTGAAAGTGTTGGGGTAAAACTAGCACTGGTTGTGCTTCTATTATACCGGTCACAATATGCCAAAACGGATGGGCATAAGAATGCTGCATGTGGGTATAAGAACGCTGCATTTAGCACTGCTAAAACTAGTAAGCTAGTCTACATCTTCTCTATATTGCTAGAAGGTGTTATGAGAAAGATTGACCAAATCCACAATGGCTGCACAGTGTCTTTGGGCCCATATGGTGATGAACATGGCATATTAAAGATTGTGACTTGGAATATAAAAAGAAAAAAATAGTAAAGAGCATGAACCAGTGACTGGAATGGTGTAATCTTGTGGAGATGGACACCTGGAGGGAGGTAAAGATGCAGATTATGAATAAACAGGGTAAAGAGTTTTTCAGGGTAAAGCATGAAACAGCACCATATTGGTTGTTGTGGATGCTCATGAAAAGCAGGTACCTATAGGTTGGTAATAACTATACTTTATACGCCAATGAATTATGATAACAAAAAAAAAAAACAGGTAAGAGTTTTGGATAAGATTATGCAACTTGCTAAATGAACATAATCCAAGGAGAAAAAAATATTCTGCTAAACAGTATAAATGGATGAGCAGGAATGAGATGAGAGTGTAAAGAAAAAGTAATTGGAAAGAATGAGAATGGTAACTGCTTAAAAAAAGATCTTAGTTTGAGTATGCAATTTAAGCATAAATCTATTTATACATACTCATGACAAATGAATATAAATTTAAAAGTATGATTGATTTAAATTTTTATGGTGAAAATTGAGAATTAGTGAAGAATAAAATAGTGATAAGAGGTTCTGAATATGGGATAGACCGTTATTTGCTAATGTCAAGAATGGGTTTGGGGACAAAATCGACATGGAGGAAAATGATGGGAGAAAAACAGGAATGAAAGTGAAAAAAGGCATGAAGAAAAAGGTATGAGTCCTATATAAGAATTAGAAGATAAATTCCCTCCATCAGAGGGAATGAAAAATGGACATAAGGAAAGAGGATGTGGAAACTGTTTGAAACAGTATATATAAATGTGATGTATAAATAAATAAATAAATAAATAAATAAATAAATAAATAAATAAATAAATAAATAAATAAATAAATAAATAAATAAATAAATAAATAAATAAATAAATAAATAAATAAATAAATAAATAAATAAATAAATAAATAAATAAATAAATAAATAAATAAATAAATAAATAAATAAATAAATATTACAGAGTGCCACAGAAGTATGTGATGTTACATTAATGGGATATATGAAAAAGGATGCCTAGTGGAAAGAGGAAGTGAAAGAGTCTGTAGATGGGGAAAATGTAGATAAGAGAATCATTGCTGCAATACATGAGATTGAGAGAAAGTGGCTCTGTAAGATTCAGACAAACAAAAAGATAGTTGCAAGGAATGTAGTCAAAGAGAACAAGGAAAAAGCAGAACATGCGAGCGATATTTATGGAAATTAAAAAAAAAACTGTTGGGAAGTGAGTGAAGGGAGCTAAACAAAGAACCTCCAACAGAATGAATGGAAAAAAATAAAACTCATGAAATTATTTGAGAGGAAGTTAAAGTAAGAGAATGCTAGAAGAATGGTATAACTGTTAGTGTCCAAGAAAAAATTGATGAAAATGAAGTAATCACACTTGTGAGAATGTTGAAAAATAGCAAGACTGCAGGTGTAACTGTTCAAAATTCTAAAATGTGGATGTGGTCTCCTTATAGGGCGGATGTATAACCTTTTTAACATGTGGGTAAAGATTGCAGGATGCTGTTATTAGCAAGAACAATGAATGCAAAAACTATAGGATTACTTTGCTAAACGTGTCCGGGAAGATGTTTGGGAAAATTCTAATGAAAAAGAACAAGAAGTAACAAGGAACATACTGTGGGATGGGCAATGCAGCTTAATGAGAGGCAGCAGGTATCCAAGATTAAATTTTTTGTTCATCAAATCACTGAGATATGTATGAATGTGAAAAAAACTGTATGTTTGCTGATTCACAGAATTAAAGACTGTTTTGAATAAATTCAGACCTGAATGTGAATTTAAAGTATGTATGAGAGTTCAGCATTAAGCATAAAGTATGTATTTAGATCAGCATTGAGAAAGTGTAAGACAAAGATGCATGATGCCTCCTTGGATGTTTAGTGTATTTATGGATAGAAGTGTAGGGAATGCCAGACGGAGCTGGGCTGGTTGGGGATGTGGATTTACATGTAATTTTGTATGCAGACAATGTTATCACTGAGAACCAAAAGGATTTACAGCAAATGTTAGACAAGAAGGCTGTGTCTGAAAATTAATGGATCAAAGACAAGGGGAGATATGTGTCACAAGGGAAAATGGAGTGACCAATTGCAAGTTAAATTGAAATCGTTAAAAACTAGAGCAAGTAGATGAATTTGTGCACTTTGATAAGAGTATTTACTAAAGACAGGGAAATGAATGCAGAAAGATGTGCAAATGCTGTGTACTGGATAAGGCATCAGACTAGAAACTGGGAGACCGTGAGTTCTAGTGTTGCCTTAGACATGAAGCCATCTGGGTGACCTTGGGCCAGTCACTCTCTCTCAGCCCTAGGAAGCAGGGAATGGCAAATCGCTTCCAAAATCTTGCCAAGAAAACTGCAGTGACAGTCGCCAGGAGTCAAGACTGACTGAAGGCACAAAAAAGAAAAAAAAATGCTAATAGAAAAGTAGTGAGCAGTATGTGCTGTTTTTGCAAGGAATCAATGTTTGTTGAAAGGCAATACATAACAGCATGCTTCTGTCCACTTTCTTATCTGGAAGTCAGTACTGGAAATGTGAGGAGAAACTTAAGTTGAATGCAATGAGAATAAAGTACTTAAGCATGTGTGATTAAACAAGAGATATTCCTAAGTCCTGTTTTAAAAATAACTAGAAAAAGATATGTTCAAAGCTTGCTTAACAGTTCTTCCTGGCCTGAGAATGGTTGGTTCTTGCCTCGTAAGCTTCAGTCCTTACAATAAGGAAGGTCTGAGTTTGAAGGTAGAACCACAGAGCCTAAGGGTTTCTTTGAGAGGGTAGATCAGTTACAGCATGAGAACTGGCCACTAACATTTTCCATCTCTGATTCTGGAATAATGCCTAGCCTAGAACTGACTGAAGTGCTAAGAAGGAAATCAAACATTCCACTGGAGAAGAGCAATCTGGAATATAATATATCTTACTTACCATAAGGAGGATATCGCAATTTTATTTTAATGGCTTAAATCTGTGAAAGCAAACAGGTGACATCTGAATGGAGGGCCACGATATACTCTCGAAATATCTCTGCCAGACTGCATCTGGAAAGGCAGTTGCAGAACCCCCCGGACCAGAATAGCACCTATTACCCCAATGCTCAAGCCTCACTAATGGCCCTCATCTTAATTCTAACAGCTTTAATAACAATGATCACATCAGGCTTATCTCTAGGCATAGATCAAATACATATAAAGGCTTTCTTATTTGGCAAATGCCATATAAGAGCAATCAGTAAAAGAGATAATCCACATATGAACCAAGTCTAGGAAGCTGTCCAGCAGCAAGGAAACTCTCAATAGAAATGTCATAAGACCTTCATATGTGCTACTGTTAAGTCCAGGGAGCTTCTGATCCTGCCTGAGTATGGCTGGCCCTGATCTGGTTTGGCTTCTCTCCACAGATTACCACTGCCAGGTACAGAACTTGGCTTTCTGTTGCTTCTTCCTTAGATGCCTGCATGCTTAAGTTCCTGGTCGGTCTACTGGGTTTTGGATGGGAACAGTAGAGCTGTTGTCTCAATGTCTTTGCTGGATCCTGACACCACATACACTTTGTTGAGGCCTGGAAGCAAAGAGTCAGCATTTTGGTCAAGCTTTTTCCTGATTCTCTTCCTCATCCAAGGAGAGCTCTTAAGACCAGGTCACGATACTAATGACTGGGAAAGAGACGGATGACACTGTAGAGAATGGTAACAAATCTCCTTCTGAAATGGATCTGCAACTGTACTTCCTTTATACCTGAGATGCAAACACTCTCTATAGTTTGTTGGAATTGGTAAGCAAAGGAGAAGAATTTTGAATGAAGCTTGAAAATATATATTTGGTGCTAAGGAAGATATGATTTGAGACTGAAGAATGGTCTGCTGCTATCAGTTCTGATAAAACCGACAAAGCTGAGTTACCAATGTCAATTTTGAATTGCTCCTCCTCAGGCCTGGTCAGAATGCTTTGAAGACTTTTTATACTTATAAGCATGGTATCTAGTTGGTGGTTGATCAGGCAATCCTAAGATTTCAAGCTGAGTATTAGAAATGTTGAAGATACTGAGCAGGATTTTAAATTTATAGCCACAGTAGGCTTCAGGCTTAGGATAGTCAGTACTCATGAGTAGCAGATTGTCCCCTTATAGACTTTTTGCATGAAACGGAAAAAAAAATGCACTTTATGGCTTGTGGTTTTGCTGATTAGAAAAAAAATGGGTAAAAGAAAAAAGTGACCTTTTTTTTTGTAATCATAGAATAAGAGATAATTTTGTAATTTTACTTATATTTGCTGCAAGGGAAATCAGAAACTCTTTCCTACCTACCTACCTATCCACCCACCCTCTATTAGTGTTAGTTTTTATGTTCTTTGTAAAGCTTTTAATACATATATGTAGCAGCTTGTCTAAATCATGGCTTTCTGGGCCACTGGGACTGCTCTGTCTGCAGTAGTAAAGAGTTACTCCAAATAAATTATTGGAGGTACAAAAATCTTATTGTGATAAGCTTGACTTGGGAACATCTGACAATGCAGGCAATGTGAAGAAAAAAGGCCGCAAGAGTGCTATTTAGTTCTGGTTAGTTTACTCCTACAAGATCTCACACCTGTACAAACGGGACACCAATGGACAAACTACCCTTTTAAGAGAAAATAAGCCATGGTAACTATTATGGCAGTCAGAAGAGAACAAAAGGGATTGATGAAAGCACTATCCTCTTACATGACTTTTTTTAGATATAAGGGTTATTGCCAAAAATATAGAGCTCTTGAACATTCTCAGTTATTGTTACATAATCCATCAATATGAATCAGAGCATGAAGAACTGTATGTATTCAGCATGTTTTCATCATTTATTAAGTATGAATTCAGGTAGCCTGCAGCATGCTATCAAAATAACTCCTATGGTGAAATAAACAGAGTGTACTCTTGATTCTGTGGCTTTATGCATATAACACATCACTCAAAATACCCCACTGGGAACTTCTACTCCACCCTGTTAATAAAACGACAAACTGACACTCAAAAGATCAGTACAGTATACAGTAAGGTCAGCCTTTTGTACAACTCATTTCAAGATACAATATCATGTAAGAAGCTTGGATACCCAAAGATTTAACACTCAGTGGCTTCAGCTCATACTCTTTGGATGCAAGAAGTTGATGCAGGAAGGGGCAGACCCAAAGATGGACTGGGAACATTAGTTCTTACCAGTTTGTGTTTAATGCCAGAAAGCCTTTGTTCCTTTAATCAACATACTATAGCTACGACAGACTACTTTAGAAATTGCATCAAGCTAGCTATTAGTGTCTGCCTACCCTGTCAAGACAGAAATTCTGGGTTAGAAAACTGATCTGAATTGCACAGCTTCGTATCTGAACTTCTTACCACCTTTCCCAATGTGTATACTGTGATACGTTGCTATTTGAATGCCAGATTAAGCTGTTACACTATCTTCATGCTATCAGTGCTGCCACCAAATGAAAGCAGATGCATTCCCCTTTCCAGGGTCTTATAGCAAGCCAAACTACACAGGGCTATGTTTGGCTCATTCAGCTAACAGACTTAACCCTACATTCTAAAGGCTCCACTTGAAAATGACCAACCTTCTGAATTCATCTTTTGGACTGGTCCAGAATGAGTGACAGTTATGTAATGTCACTGGAAATTTATTCCATTTTGCAGGCTGTTTTGAGGTCATTCCCCAATTTAACACAGATAACTTTCCAGTCTCTCTACATCTAGAACTATTTATTCAACAGCTCCATGTTGAGACTCCACAGCAACCACAATTTTACCAGCAAAAATGTTCAAAGATTCTTTTGATTTTACAAGCACATAAGATACATACAATGATTAGTTAATTGTATGTATCTCACACGCTAGTAAAATCATGAAATCCAAAATTCAACAATGCATGGAACAAGAACTGACAGATGTACGTACTTCATCCAGATGAGGCAGGGGCATCCAAGATCACATTGCTAATATATGATGGATAATGGAAAAGGTGAGGGAGTTCTTACAACTTTAAAAGCAAGGAATAAAAACATATATCACTGAGTTCCAAAAAGATACCTATTATTTGTTTTCTTGATTATACTAGGGTTACTGATTATGTGGACCACAACAAACTATGGCCTGCCCTTTTAAAACAAGGAAATACCAGGTTTCTCAGCTACCTGTTGTATGATGACCAAGGAAGCAACAACAGAATATGGGGCAACTAAATGGTTCAAAATTGGGATAGGAGTGTGCCAAGGTTAATTTATATGAAGAGTATATCACCTTGATGGCTGGAATCAAGGAAGATTTAAGGAATCCCTTGTGGAAGGCGACAGAAGACACCACAACAGTTGGTCTACTGCTCAATAACTAAATAACTAATTAAAAAAACTAAGGTTATAACAACAGGCAATGCTAACCCAACACAAATACATGAAGTAGGTGAAGTATAACAGATTATTTTCCTAGGTTCAAAAATTCATGACTGAAGCCATACAATAAAGAGACATCTGTTACTTGTTACATCTTAGTGGCAACATATAGCTGTGAAAATGGGGCCATCAGAATGGCTGAACAAAGAAAAACTGATGCCTTTGAACTGCGATGTTGGAGAAAATTGATGAGAACACCATGAACCACAAGAAAAGCAAATAATTCAATACTAGATGAAAACTGGATGCCACAGTAGAAGCCCTAATAATGAAGCTAAGCTTAAATAGTTTGGACACATAATGAGAAGGCAAGAGTCACTGGAGAAGATCCTGATGCTTAAAAAAAAAAAAGCAAAGGAAATTAAAGGTAAAGGCTGACAAAATATAAGGTGACTAATGGCACAAGCAGGAGTTTATAAGAACTCAAAGCAGTTTCTCACAGAAAGTCCTAGGGAAATTATGTCTTTTGTGTCTGAATGAGCAGCAACAAGTCTTTACATCTGCACACTGTTAGTACTAACATGTGTCTTTGAAGCAAAGTAATGCACACACTTACCTTTGCCAAGACCTACATGCAAAATAAAGCATCTATCTATCTACCTACCTACCTACTTACCTAACCTTAACTTCACAGCGATAATTAAAAAAACAAGCAGCTATAACTTAGGAGACAGGCTAACAGGTATGTAGCTGCAACCTATCATTTTCCATCTGGCCATGTTCAGTGTTTGTTTCTTCTCAACACTCTCACATCATTCCATCTAGCCTAGCCATCAGCAGTAGGAACATGACTAGTCCCCACTGCTGTGCTGGCTAGGCTGGAAAGAGTTTGGAGGAAAAAAATGTCCAACCACAAGCTGCAAAACAACAGCTTAAATACAATGCCTGAAGCACTCAGACTGACACTTCTTGAAAAAGAAACATTTTGTTTCATGCTAGAAACAAATAAAAAAGTTATTTTGTTTTGACTTAAAACCTATGAAGGTATTACAAAATAATTCCAGTGACTGCAAAATGCAAAATGTGAGCCCTATTTTTAATAATGATTGATTTCCTTTTGCTTCTTTCCCTTGATAAAAACAAACCTCTTTTGGGCAAGTGATCATTTCATCTGTTCATTTGCTTTGGTAATGACCTGTTCTAGTATCAGATTATTTCTGAATGCATAAGAACAAATATTCACAATTTCACATTCAGAAGATTCCAAATTTATGACCTGAAATCAGAATGGTCTGAAATCAGAATGTTCTCCACTTCCCTACTAAGGAAATACACTGAAAAAAGTGTGTAACCTATTTTTATAAATAGCTACTTGCTTAGCTTTATGTGAATAATTAAAATCAAAACTTTCTAAAAAAAATCTCTCTTTATTACAGTATTTATTTATTTGATTTGTATCCTGCCCTATCCCCAATAACTGCGGTTGTCATTTAAAGGTCGCCATGGAGGGTTCAGAATAAAAATGAGTAAATTAAAAATCAATTTCAAAATTCAAAATACAGAAATATATGACAGGGCACAGACAGCAAAATAATAAGCAGAATGCTAATGGTTTCATACCGGTTGCAGTCCCACTGTCACATGGCAGTAGCACTCCTGTTACTGGTTGTGCGTTGTTTAGATTTGCTCCAGGTGCTGGAGAGGGAGTAGGCCCTACTCCACTCCCAAGGAGCATACAAGATGGCGGAGGGGGCTGCCCACGTTTCAATAACACTTTGTGGTCCTGCTGGCAACGAAATCGCGGCGGCACCTCCCGAGGCATGTAGCGGGCGGCGCTTGGCGGTTGACCATTCGGCACTGCCACCCTTTTGGCATTATTGCCACCATTTATAGGTGGCGATGGAGAGCTGCCAATTGGGCTGGCGGTTACTGGTTGGCTTAAACTTGTTTTTGTCGCTTCGGGCACTACAATGAAAAATATGTTGGTATTTAGTATCGCTTTGCAAGTTTAACTGTGTCCAAAAATCACAATAAATAAGATCTAGTAAAAATATTTCTAGCTTCAAGCATGAAGAAAATTAGGAATCACTATGACATAAATTCACAAAAACTGCTACTGAAGGAGGTGACACTAGTTACTAAATCTAAAGTTTCACACGTTTTCCAACAATAACAGTAGCTGCTGCCTCAAGGTGTTTAAGTGAAGACATGACACAGTACCTTGTTTTGTCTATTTATCTATCGGACTTAGAAGACACTCAGTCACATTGTAAGTTATAGTACTGCAAGATTATGAGTAGCTCTAAAGGATTCACAAACTTTTTCTTACCACTAGTTTTTGCCACATATTGTTTTAGTTAAAAATGAATTCTTGAACTGGAAAGAGGAATAACATGCATCTGATATCTGGTTCTGGAAAACTTAACTGTCACATCATGAACAAGATGGAAATTTTTCACTGACAACCACACATAAAGCTCACTGCAGTTTAATCACGTTGTAGGTAAGACAGGTGTTACCAAATTCAAGATCTGCCTTTTCAATAAATAAGCATAGCTAATGTATTAATCAAAAGTGAATGAAGTTCATCATGGTAAGTGCCCAGATATCCAAAATCAAAACCAATTCTAGTACACAAAACTATGCTTAATTCTAAGAATTTATTTTCTTTCCAGCATTGGACAGATTCTTATTTCTGGGTTTCTTTTTTGACCTTTTTTGTCTTACTGTTTTGTTTGAATAAGACCTTTACATTTCAGTTTCTTAATTTAAGTCAGTCCAATGCCATATGTGAACATATTTGTGCGAACTATGATTTCTGCAGACCTAGGGATTTATGTTCCAAAAGAGAGGCCATGCTCACCCCCATGGAGTATGGTATCAGCTAGGTATTCTAGTTTTCAGTTCCGTTGATATATAATTTTTCTCCCAGCCAGCCAGCCAAGAAATCCTCTTAATTCCCAATAAATTATAGAGGTATTAAGGCTTGAGAAGAAATAAGTTTGAATGTTGCTTTTGCTAAGATACAACTCTATTCAATTAAAAACATAGGTCATTCTTAGGCATAAGGGCATTGTGGCCCAGATGAAATGTGCTGCATTTGACATAATGTATAAATCAGCACTCTTCAAAGACTGGCAGAGCAACACATTTTCCCTTTATATTTTAGAAAAAAAAATAGTCTATATTCAGTTTACACAATAGTACTTTACACAGGAATAAGAGTTTTATCATAAGGATAAATAACTTTTATTAAGAGGAAAAAGGTTTTTCAGATAGCAAGAAAAGTTACAGCTTTAGAAAAGTTAAAGCTTCTTACCTTTGGTTTTTTGATCTGTGACCTGTAAATAAGAATAAAAACAAAAGTAGTAATTTGGTTTTCATAAGTTATCCTTGTTTTTAAAAGTATTAATATCTAAACGCTGAATACTAACATACTGATGTACCTGCCAATATTAAAAGTTCAGTCAAGCAACTCATTATATCTATCAGTACATACACTACATAGACATTTTTAAAAACTTCCATCTTCTTTTAATAACATAGTATAGCTATTATGATGCTGGGTTAGGACTGGGGAGATACAGATTTAATTCTATCAGCCATGAAAATTCACTGGGTGACTTTGGGCCAGTCAATCTCAGCAAAACCCACCTCACAGAACACCGATCCCCAATTAAGCTGCCCTGACCTCCTGAAGAAAAGGTCACATATAAACATATGAAGACGAACGCAAACTATTCTATGAAATGCGGTGATGTAGATTAAATCCTGAAGGCTTTATTTGCTGAACTATTCAATTAATCAGGAAGCAGATACAAGAGATATATTTAAGATTAAACAACTAGCCAGCCTATTACTTTGTCCAAAGTACCAAAAGAGAAATCAGTTTATGAACCATCCATATAAAAATCCAATCTTACTTATCTTAAACTTTTTAATAGGAGAGGGATGCAAATGTAATTTAATTACTGCTATTGTTAAATAACGCATACTACAGAAATCACCTAGAGATTTACCAGTACTGTATACCCAAAGCTACTTTCTTTTTAACCCCAATACAGTATCTTGAATCACAGGCCAATTTGCCTCCTAATATAGTACATATCTTGTGTCAAAGCCAATTATCTTTAATAAACACTAATTTTCAACACTGAGCTGATAAACTACAAACATTATAATTCTTATCCTACTAGATTTTTAAATTAATACAAGTTGCTGTATTAATGTTGATCTCACTGCAGTAAGCCACCATTTGCAAACTTAATCCTTGCTTTTCTCCCAAACCATAACAAAAAAGGCAGAATGTGCTGTGAGTTCAGATATGTCTTCTCCCTAATTCATTTCTGAATTACCACAGCTTGCCATGACATCCCAACTGGAAAATTACAGCTATAATTAAAGCTGATAAACTACAAACATTATAATTCTTATCCTACTAGATTTTTAAATTAATACAAGTTGCTGTATTAATGTTGATCTCACTGCAGTAAGCCACCATTTGCAAACTTAATCCTTGCTTTTCTCCCAAACCATAACAAAAAAGGCAGAATGTGCTGTGAGTTCAGATATGTCTTCTCCCTAATTCATTTCTGAATTACCACAGCTTGCCATGACATCCCAACTGGAAAATTACAGCTATAATTAACCTCAAAATTATGGTATGTAACGTGTTTACAAACCATGGTTTGAGATCAGTAGTAACCATAATTTACCTAATTTAGATAGTGCAACAAAGTAAACTGGAAAAAAAGGCAGGAAACTGAGTCATTTATTGTGTCATTATATTATATCTCATTATGATTTAGCCACAAACTAGTATGTTACTCTTCCCACAACTGGGTACAGGTAGCAACTTACAGTGGATGTGTTTGATTTGTTTAATGAATCATACAAATTAAAGACATGGGCACTCTGGCTTTTTCCAAGACCAAAAACCAAGAGAAAAGAAAAAAAAATCCCACCCTTCATTTTGTTTAAGTCTACTGACTTTTCTGTTGCAGAAATGGTCAGGAAATGAGCATCTGTTCAAAACTAAGCTGTGTGTCCTCATCCTGTGGGAGCAAAGATCGGAAGTGGACAATTGATTTGATCTTCATCCTGCTTTTCTGTTCATGGAACACTCAGGACAACTCACGTACATAAATACAGAAATTTAAGATAAAACTAGAACTATAAAATATAAACGCTAAAGTTATTAAATCATTTTCAATCTTCTATATCATGATGTAGAGCAAGAACACGGAAAATCTGCTACCATTCAACTATAGTTCTGAGTGGTCCAGCTGCTAAGTGATAAAGGATGCTGGGAGGTACATTAGTAGCATCTGGAAGACCATATATTCTCCATCTCAGGCTTAGAAGACTGGAAATTGAAAACTGACACCTGAACCAGGTGACAAATTTTGTGTAGTTCAAAATGCTTCCCCATACAGTTGTGCAATTGTTTATAACACAAGCTCTTATCGTAGCCTAACCTTTAGAATATGCATAAAAAAAAACAACTAGTATTAGACTCAGAAGGTGTGAGGTTATATAGAGTGCAGGAGAATGCAACTAAGAAATGAGAAGAATGCAGTGTGTAGTTGATATAAATGCCAAGTGGCTAAGATAGTTAAATCAATTAATAGCTATAAAAACTACCAGCCTGAATCAATCAGCTGCAGGATGAAGGCCTCTTCATTTAAGATTATGGACTGTATTCTACTACACTGTTCCAATGCAGGTTGATATTTTTTTTTTCAACTTTCCAGTCTAGGACTGAGAGTAATTGGCTCCAAATCACGAAGCCAATTTTGTGCCTAAGGGAGAACTAGAACCTGGGCTTCCCAACTTTTAGCCCAGCACCTTAAACACTACGCCGTGCCGGTTCTCCTATATATGAGTGTGCGTATACATCCATATACACATGCTATCTCATATTCATTGTCAAACCACTCTGTCTCCCATATGAATTACAAAAAAGTTAGGTTCATATGTGCCACATCTTTTATTAAATTCTTATTGGCATGAATCTAAACCAAACTGAAACTTCAGATACAAATGACTATAATAGAAAACTGGAATATGTGTTCTGATTTGATTTCTAGCATTTGCTACTCCAAATATCTACTTTGAATAAAATATTAAATATTAGGTTCCCTTAGTGTATGTGTTATAAGAGTTAATTATGTACACTATGAAGCCTAATGTGACCACTGTTTGTACCAGCCTAGTTAAATCTCTGGAATAATAGCAAGGTACATACAGACGCACCTCTTTTTTCGCTGTCATCAATCCAACTGAGGGAAACAAAACCATATAGTTTATAATTTGTCTATAACTTTATTTAAGTAATAAGATATATCAAAAGCCTAATCAAAAGTTAGTATCGGTTGTTAGAGGCCAAACAGGGATCAACAAGTGCAGGAAAACCAGATATTCAAACTGAAAACCAGCAACCATTTAAAAGAAGGTGCATGTGCTTTAGTCAGGCGATTGCTCCTTGAATAATCAGAGCAGAAGGCTCATAGGGTTTCTATTATAGCTAATTCAAGAAAATTTTCCTAGGTTAGAAAACTGAAGACCAGAGATGAAACTAAAGTAACAAAATACACTACAGTACTTTCATAGATGTACAAGAGCCCTTGTGTCAAGAGGAAACTGTATCAACTTAATGGCATTCCCCTACAACCTAATATTTACTGTGCCTTAGCAATCAGGCTAGGCAGTGTTGCTGCAGTCATATAATTTAATGCCATGTAGTTTCAGGGCAGCACTTACTGGCTTCTCTGCCATCCTTTCACCACCCACCACTATCACCTACTGGCAAGAAAACCAGCAACCAATTATGAATGTGGGGTGAGGTGGGGTGTTCAAGCTTTGATATATTTATTGTGTGATTTTTCTGATATTCTAGGCTGTTGACA